TCGCGCGCCACGCTCAGTTATCGGCCTCGCTTTTCTGCCTTTCTCTTCTCTCTGGTAGCTCTAAAATTTAGACCGGGTCCGAAAAAAGGCAAGCACGCCGACTCGACGATAGATGGGTGCACCGGCCGGGCTGCTCGCTGAGTGCCAGAAGCTGCTCGAGGCGTCGCCGTTCGAGTACAATCAGAGCTTGGCCCCGCACGTGCCAGCCGTGTGGCGCGGCCTCGGCACGTACATTGCGCGCCAGCTGCAGCAGCACCGCGCGATCTTCCTCCCGGCCTTTGGCAAGTTTACCTTTCTCAAGGGCAAGGACGACGCGCCCGCGTTCCTCTTCTCGGACAAGTTTCTAAAGGCGCACCCACGCATCGTAACGAAGCGGCCGCTGCCGGCACTGACCGTCCACGGCGCCGACGCCAACTACTCGACGATTGCCGCCGAGGCCAGCGTCATGAAGGACCAGGCGCAGTCGATCGTCGAGAGCCTCTTTCAGTTGCTTGGCGACGTGACCGAGTCGGGCACGCGCTCGATGCGCATTGCGCTTGGATCTCTCGGGCACATCACCGTGGACGGCCGGAGTTTGCACGTTCGCTTCGACCCTGGATTTGTCTTGCAGGTCGGCGCGTCACCCGCCGTGCAACCGCCACCGATCGCGACGCGCACCGTGCTTGAGACGCTCGAGCACATGGCCGGCATTCCCAAGCCGACGCCGACACCTGTCCGCGACGTGTCACCAATGTTCACCATTCACACGGCCACGCCAAAGCTCCGGGACGAAGAGCCGACGATCACGGTAAGCACGAAGACGAAGCCCAAGCGACGCATGAAGCAGCCGTCGCAGCTCGTCAAGTGCGCGTCCGAGTCGCTCGTCGGCTTTGCACTGCATCCGGAAGCCCCGAGCATTCTGCCTCGTTTCCTCATTCCCGACTACCCGCGGGCGAGCCCGGTGACGTCGGCGGTCCAGCAGCTCATTGTCGAGCAAGCGTACAAGCGCTTGGACGAAGAGACGGCGGCGAGCATGGACCGCAAGCTCGCGCTGGACTGCGACTACGACGCGCGGTTCCGCAACACCGAGTACTGCACGCTCAAACAACGCGCCGAGAAGGCGCTGTCACAGCGGGAGACGTCGGCGACCTTGATGCTGCAGACACTCGAGAAGCAGCGGGCGACGCTGCCATTGCCTGAGCCGCACGTCCCACTGACCGTCTTGCCAACAGCCAAGGTGCGCACGAAAGCGGAGGAGAAGGCTCGAAAAGCCGTGCTACGACAGCAGCTCGACGACCAAGTCGCGATGCAGGCCCGCCGCGACGAAATGCAGACGCGCGTTCAGCGGGACGAAGAGCGTTTCTTCCTCGAGAACGTCCACCGACAAGACAAGCGGGAGCGACACGAAGCCGCAGTGCAACGCCAGCTCGACAAGGACCTGCTGCTCAAGGAGTGGAGTCGCCAGGTGCAAAAAAAGTAGATGACAAGCCAACTAAGTTCCGAGTCCTCCTACGGTGGGTCGAGCTAGAGAGACTTCTATTACAGGTCAGGATCAAACATTGGCGGTGCAATCTGGAAGCTCGCAGGCTTCATCTGGAAGAGCATCGGGGGCGCGCCATTTCGTCGTCGTCGTCGTCGTCCTGGAGTGCAGCGAACACGTTCTTGGGCTTGGTCACTCGGGCTTGGACGCGGACGGGCGCCGTCATCGGCGCCTGGTCGGTCGCCTATACCACAATATATTCGCTGCTAAAGAGGTTGGAAGGGGCACCATGAGGGGCTGCATGAATGCATCGAGGGCCGAGGTCGGTGCGGGGGCTGCCACCGGCACAAACGGGTTG